ACTAAACTATCGCACTGTTTAGTCGCGCTTTGATTCCTATGAGCTTATATGGAGGTGCCTACACTACTCGATTTTTAGTTGTGCAACTAAACAGTTGGCTGCGAAACATTCGACAATCGTCACAGTTGTGCGTTTAGTCAAAGGTGCGCTCGCTCTAAATTATTGTAACAAATATAATACAAATCTCAAAATAGCAATAGTATTGATTTAACAGTATTCTAGTGACCGCTTTACATAACAAATACAAAACGAACCAATTTGTACCTTAGTCCAATTCAATAGAGTTTACTTTCGTATTGCTCTGATGTGATTCTAAGCCATTTTAGGCTGGTAATGTAAAAGTCATAAAGATTACCCTTCAAATAAATCATCTACATATATCAACAACTTTCCAACACGAATAATTTTAAACTAGCTTTTTCCCGCAACTCCTTCCGCGTGGAATTAAAAAAAGAAAAACAAAAGTAAGAAGCCTATGCGTTCGTCCAGACTATCCTCTATATCTGTTCCAAATTTCTTGATATGAATTATTAAGTCACGTGGCTGACTCAGTCCGTAAATTATGTGCGCAAACGGTACGGGTCCGCGGAATGATGTCAAGGCCGAAAAGATCGTAAGGGGGAAGGGCCTTTGTGCACTCCCCTAGCTCGGGAACATGTCTCGACAAGTCTTAAGAAAATAATCCTGTCCTTAATTTATAACGGATTTTGAGAAACCACAATTTTTTCCTACTTCCAGTGGATAGCTTCGTACGTATTGATATATATTTCATCGTATGAAAAATTTACTAAGTAACTATGGAAATAGTATACGGTGTAAACACCGCAAAATATATGTTTTTTCCCGAATAAGCTTTTTATACCATTATAACCTACGCGACGAACTTACTAAGCTTGTACACGTTGAATCACTACCACGTTCATGTGTGCTCACCACCATACAAATCCGTAGTTATAGGAAAAAACTACATTCTGTTCAACTACGGTGTTTTATTTTGTATGAACGGATACACCGTACATCTTGGTCCTTCGAGCCGGAATATGTTACGGGCCTGTCCCACCAATTGCTGATAGAGGATCAGATAGCTTAAAAATGTTAGACAGATAAGGAAACAAAATCCGATATTTCTATCACATATTTTGCACCATCGGTGTTATCAAACAATTTACAATTTCGTGAAACAGGCTCTTAAAATAGTATTCGAAAGGTAAAAAATTTTTTTGGAAATCGGTCCAGTCGTTATCGAGTGTATTCGTTACAAGCACAAATAAATCTCTATATTAATCTATTTTAAACTAGCTGTTGAACGCGTGGAAATAAAAATGGTTAAAAACATAACCTATAGTACTCAGTAATAACGTAGTTTTTTAACTGTGAAAGAATTTTTGAAATCGGCCCAGTAATTTTTGCGTTATTTCAATACATACTATTTTTTGTTTGTGTTTACAAATCCTTCCTCTTTATAATATTAACTAGTATAGATCCGAAAACTAGTTTCATTATTTCAATATACGTTGAAGTTAAATCTACATTATATCTTTACTCTATAATCTACACTATATATACTATTATAATAAAGCGTACACACACACTTATTTGTTGCCTAACATGTCAGCAATTACACCATATTTTTGAATAATTCCTTTTTAAATAAAATGTCCTACACTTACGTCACGCTTTAGGCTATATATTTTTACGCCATTAAACTTAAGGGGTAAATATTTTGGATAAAAACCCTAATGCGGGAAAGAGACCATAATTTGCTGCCAACATCAAGGAAGTAAGACTGTCAAGGTTTGTCATGTCATGTCATTTTGATATTTGCTATTGATAATTTGACAAATGTAAACAATAAAATAAAATTTTCACTATTTCATGCGGATGAAGCCGCGCGGGAACAGCTAGTTTTGATAATTCTTTTAAATCAATGATGAAAGCATCCTTACAATAGGTAGCCAAACATCGATTTATGATTTCAAAGCAGACACATTTAAAACTTTGTAACAAAGCTCCCTATTTGACATAAGCCCCCCTCAAGTGCAGCTTATTTACGACTTACGAGTATCGTTTCTAAGAGACGTCTAGACAGTGCCACTTTTTAGCTTTTCATGTTTTACCTCATCAGTATGTTGTACAAATGTTTTCTATTATTACCGACCTCTACCAATATTACTACGAAATTTTATGTAATAGTTATACTTTTCTTGGGTATATAATGTAAGTACAGTCGGTAATGTTTATTTCCTTTTTTGTATGAGGAGAGGGGGGTTAAAAGATATATGTTTGCCTTTTAAAACGCTAAAGGCTTGTCCCACAACTGGCTGATAGAGGTTCAGATAGCTTAAAAATTACGTCACTGTCAGATAAGGTAACAAAATCTAATTTGTTCAGGTAGGTTATACTTTCTAACAGTACCAACCGATAATAGCGCTTCTCTTCTAAATTATAGCTCTTATTAGTAGAGTTTGCAGACTGTACCGATCAAAGTGGGTAGTGAATTTAATGACTATGTCTTCCTTTTACCTTAAGGACTGTAGACTACATTCACATATTTTAGAGTAGTTTCAAAGTAAACCTACTTCTTTTCACGTCAGTAAAGGTGTTTGTTTTGTAAACTATTGATTGTTTAAAGTAAATTGTAACTTAAATGGCTTCTCTACTTAATCGTCTACGTCATCGATGTCATGAACCATTACGTGGGGAAGTTGACATCTGCTTTTAATTGATGTAAAGACAAGTTGAAGATGTTTTCGTTATTTTCTAGAACGTTCTTAAAAAATAAACTCAGTATTTTTTCTTCAAATTTTAAAACAAAGTTTTATTTGTTAATATTTAAATATATTTTTTCCTATATTTAGTTACTTGTCTTTTTGGATTGCTTGGCGCACTTTTAACCGGTTTGTATTATTTTATTACAAACTAGCTGTTCCTGTGCGACTTCATCCGCATAAAGTTATGAAATTTTTATTTTAATATTTACTTGTGTCAAATAATCAATTGCAAATGTCAAAACGACATGACGATGACAAACCATGGCAACCTTGCTTCCTTGATGTTGGCAGCAACTTATGGCCTCTTTCCCACTTTAGGGTTTTGTTCAAAATATTTTCTCACTAAGTTTAATGGTGTGAAAATGTATAGCCTAAAGCGTGACGTAAGTGTAGGGCTTTATATTAAAAGAAAAGTTATTCGAAAATATGCTGTAATTGCTGACATCTTAGGCAACAAAGAAGTGTGTGTTTACGCTTTATTATAATAGTATTAGTAAATTTCTTAAAGCAAATATATTATGTTAAAGGTGACAGTAATATAATAATTCACTATAATAGGTAACTTCTTGTCTAGTTCACATTTTAATAACATCAGAAAGAGGGAAAGTTGGCAAATTGTTTTGGCAAATTTCCCAGACTCCGTAAAAGTGCAATCAGAACTATCTAGAAGGAAAAAAGTAGGTCAGACGAGTTTTATGCTCACTTTAATGCGAAGCTTTTAAGTTAAAATGTTGACTCCCCAAAAATGACACCGAAAAACAATTATTCTGCCTTTTTTGTCAACAAAATAAATCTAAATTTTTACTTATCTCACATTTATTATAACTGGGAAACTTTATATGGATGGATGTTTGTTAGAGTTTGTAAACTAAACAACTAAACGGATCTTGATAAAATTTCGCATAGATCTTGATAATAACCTGGATGATAGACTATTCACTTTTTTTGTATTTCGTTATAGTCTATAGTCGGGGGGAACGCTAGTTATGAGATAAATTTTGTAGGTTAACCTATACTGATATTTACAAGAGGAAAGAATAGGCTCCAAAACGACTGAAATGAAATGAAATGAAATGAAATGAAATGAAATGAAAGAAAATGAAATGAAATGAAATGAAATGAAATGAAATGAAATGAAATGAAATGAAATGAAATGAAATGAAATGAAATAACATCGCTAGTATAGTATCTCAATACTAGCGATAAACCAGCTTCTGGGGCCAGATTTACATGTAGAAACCTCTTCAAAGCTATGGAAATGCTCATATTTCCATAGCTTTGAAGAGGTTTCTAAATGCAAATCTCTGAATTAAATAATAATAACACTATTCGATAATTGATAATCGAACAAGTAGATCTAGCAAATACTATTTACTAGCTTTCGTCCGCGATTCCGTCCGTGTGGAATTAAAAAAATACAAAAGCAAGTAGCCTATGTGTTCTTCCAAACTATACTCTACATCTATGCCTTTCATCAAGATTCGTTCAGCAGATTAAGCTATAAACTCTAACAACCATTCATCCATCTTAACTTTGGCATTTATAATATTAGTAAGATTGATAATACTTTTTCCTTTGTTACAGAATTCATCGATCAAGACAATAAAATTCGGTAGCCATGTCTAATATAATTTAAAGCGATCTCATGAGGGCTTACACCCGGCGCAGAGCCATGTGGCGTGTTTAGCTAGCCTGGACGACCGTTAACCCACTCATATGCACAAGGAAGCAACCAACGTGTTCAGAGATTCGCTAAAATTACGCCAAAAACTCCTACAAAGGACGACGACATATTTTAAAGTCGTCGAATTCGTCAAAAAAGACGCGATCCGATACTTCACGTACGATTACGAGATAATAAACTTAGAAAATAATATTATGAACATATTTATAGGCAACGATTACCATTCCAAGAACCTTGTCAAATTGAAAACAACCATTTGATTGTACGGATTTGACCGTTGTCATATAATAATCGGTTCAATGGACAATAATATCCATTAATTAGAATAAGTTATAATACTAGATAAATCTATCATTTTTATTTCGAAAATAATAGCAATTTATTGTTTAAAAGACATAACCTCAAAAGAACTAAACGTCAATTGAACAAGATGGCGGCCAAAGCTGAGCCAATTGGACCGCGGAATGGACATGAGTTGGCGCCACTAAATACACGCGCGGACGGCAGCGAGCGGCCCCATGGGGTGACCATCGTGCTGCAGGGTTCCAGGGGCTCCCTGCAACGCGAGGCACCAGGCGAGGACCGCGCCGCGTGGTCAGGAAAACTACAGTTCTTCCTGTCTATCATCGGTTACTCTGTCGGCTTGGGAAATATCTGGCGGTTCCCGTACTTATGTCAACAAAATGGCGGAGGTAAGATTTTCATATACACCCAACCCCATAGTCAAACGGTATGATGGTATTTGCATCAAACAACTCTCCGAATCAAACGTTATTTTAATACGGTTAAAGTTAAGAAAAATCTATACATATAATAAAATTTGAGTGTCTGTTTGTAATATCAAGAAAAATTCCAGATTACGGGAAGATGATGCATTTGCGTTGCTGATAACGAAAAT